GTCAGAGATGCCAAAATAAGAGTTCATGATGCCGAGTCGGACATATTCTCATATTCGCAAGATCGACGAGTCGCAGGGCCGGAGTGGAAAACGGTTCATTTTTGCATTTGAAACCTGTAACACAGATATCGAGCCGGGTAGGGTCCATGATCAAGCCGGTGAGGGACACGATGACATTTCATTGACGGAAGAGAGGGTGGCATTCGTGAGTCGAATGGCATTTGCAAGAAGCTGTGTTCGAGACGTATACATATCTTAGAGTAGCAGCCGCTTCGTTGCGGAAGATGAAGTTAATTAAGACCTGGGGGGCGCTTGAGGGTTTGTCTCAGCGACATGACCGATACTAGTATCTTCATCATTCTTGATAAAATCGGCACATTCCTCAACCTGTGTCGAAATCCTCTGCCATTTCATAGACCGTACAAATTAATGCCTGGCCCTCGATCCTCCTTCCCCCCTCTGGCTGGATATTATTGCCGACGTACTGTACTGTACATCGGGATAAGTCATTCATCGCAGTTTAACTTGAATCTTTCAATCCCTAATTGTTGCCCAGACCATTCTCTTGATTGATACCGAAGAATTGACTGTCGATTTCCTGACCACAGTTTGTGTTTCACAATTTAGCTAGGTAGGCTGCACGGTACACGAGGATGACTACACACCAACCGACCGTGGTAGCTTCAGCATCGGCAAGCCGAATCGGCCCCACATCCCGGGTTGCGCTTGGCACCGGTCTGGTCTGCCTTGCTACTGCGCTATGCAGTTTGTGTAGAAGTTCTAAATTAGACGCACGGAGCATCACCGTCCTCGACTAGGTTTTCGAAAATTTGAAATAATAAATGGTAGCGCAAAAACCTGCGTACACCAGGGGTGAGTTTTTTCATGTCAGCAGTATTGGAGCGGTCATATCTAGCGTCTGTGTAGCGACGAAACCGAAAAAAAAAAAAAAAAAAAAAAAGGAAAGAAAGAAAGAAATTCGTTTAGACCCGTGGAACGGTATAAATCAACATTGTGGTGCGCTCCCTTGGAAAACTGAGGCACCTGAACAGTAACAATCACATAGACAGGATTGGAACTACCAGTGAAACTAGCCTAGAAGGAAAATCAACCCCCAAGTTTATTATGAGGACTATGAGGGCTATGAGGAATATATGCCTTTCATTTATTTCAAGCTTATTCGGAGCAAATATCAGGCCGTTCAAAATAAAAATGAAAACGAAAAGAAAAGGAACGAAAAGGAAAAAGAGAAGAAAAAAATAACAAAACTTTTTCTAGTAGCTGTGGAAACCACTATGAGAGCGACAAACAAGTGCAGTGCGTCAATGGGCATAAAGAGTAGAAAAGGACATCAAAAAGGGCGTGACGAGCCCTCCAGTTCATAACATCACACCCATTTTGAGGGTAGCCGACAGTTAAAACAAACAAAAAAGGGAGCTGAGATCTTGAACAGCAGGCATGTAAAGAAATAAAATGAAAATAATTCGCTGCATCTTCGGTTCGATCAGGATAGATAGGAAAGAATCTCATTAGAAGGAAGGAAGAGATCATTACAGGGCACTGACAGACACAGGAACGGAGAAAACCAAGAGGGCCCTTCTTGCACACGCGCAGGCAAAAATAACATACGAAAATGTTTCTATCATTCCTTTCTCCCATTTTCTTTAATTTAAAAAAACGTTATTAAACACCAGGGAACATTGGTTGTTAAAAGCAAAGCCGGGAAACAGGAGAGGCGGACGGAGCATAAGAAAAAAATAAAAGTTTATCGGGTAGCCATTGCCTTGGTGATCAATCGCTTAAGGGCGAGTTCCTTCTTCTTGAGATCCTCGGGCGAGGAGTCCTCGATCTCTAGCTGGGCCATGGCGTCACTTAGAGCAGACTCAATCTTGTCCTTGTTACCACGCTTAATCTTCAGCGACATGGTTGGGTCGGAGATGATCTCCTCGACACGCGAGATGTAAGACTCCAGCTGTTGGCGCGACTCGAAACGCTTGCTGAAGGCCTCGTCGCTGGACTTGAACTTGGCAGCGTCTGTAGATATGTACGTCAGTGAATGTAAATTTTAAATTGTTATATGGTATGTACATATAGATAGAGATATATTTAGAAACAGGGGAAGACGGTTATATCTTACCGTTGATCATGTTTTCGATCTCAGTGCTGGAGAGCTTGCCGACGGCATTGGAGATTGTGATATTCGCGCTGCGGCCAGTGGATTTCTCAGTTGCGGTGACCTTTAGGATCCCGTTGACGTCAACCTCGAATACGACTTCTAGGGCGGCCTCTATAGGGATGTTAGCAGTGGAGGAGAGGTTAAGGGTTAGGGGAGAAATAGGTTACTTAACTCCGGCCCTCATGGGAGGGATTGGGGCTAAGGTAAACTCCCCCAGTGAGGTGTTATCTTCACAGTTGGTGCGTTCTCCTTGGTAGACGGGGAAGTTAACTGTCTGTTGGTTATCGACAACGGTGGTAAAGGTTCTAGAAATGGAAGGAATATATGTTAGTGGCTGTAGTTGTGAAATTGTCGAAGGAGATTCCTCACTTCTTGCAGATTGTAGGTACTGTGCGACCTCTGGGTACGACCGGTGCGAAGATATTTCCCTCTATAAAAATATGAGTAGTTGTTTCTTCAAAAGAGTATATGAAAGTAGGTGAACCGTGACTAACCCATCGCAACACCGAGCGACAGTGGTACAACGTCGAGAAGGAGAAGATCGCTAGTATCACTGGAAGTGGCCTGGCCGGAGAGGATTCCCGCTTGCACCGCCGCACCGTAAGCCACCGCTTCGTCAGGGTTGATGCTCTGTATCGTTTGTTAGATGTCAAGCAACTTAAAAGGGCAGTGAAAGGCCAGGGTTTAGCGTGTTAATGCAGCTCATACCTTCTCGAGCTTCTTGCCATCGAAGAAGTCGCTGAGGAGCTTCTGGATACGGGGGATACGGGTAGAGCCACCGACAAGGACGATCTCATCAACTTTGCTCTTGTCAAGGTTAGCATCCTTGAGGACTTGCTGGACGGGTTCCAGAGTGCCAGCAAACGCCTTTGCATTCAAATCCTCAAAACGAGCTCGCGTAATTTGAGTGTTGAAATCCTCGCTGTCGAACAGAGAATCGATCTCGATAGTGGTTTGGGTGGCATTAGAGAGGGTACGTTTCGCACGTTCACAAGCGGTTCGAAGACGGCGGAGGGCTCTGGGGTCACCAGAGAGATCTTTCTTCGTTTTGCGTTGGAATTCCTTCTTGCAGTGGTCCAGGAGGTTGGTGTCAAAGTCCTGTCCTCCCAAGTGAGTATCACCAGCAGTAGCCTTGACGGTGAAAACGCCACCATGGATGTTTAGAAGGGAAACGTCGAAAGTTCCCCCGCCGAGATCGTATATGAGGACGTTGCGCTCCTTTTCGGAGCGGCCAGAGCCAAGACCATAGGCAATAGCAGCAGCGGTGGGCTCGTTGATGATACGGAGGACGTTCAAGCCCGCAATAGCACCGGCGTCCTTAGTTGCTTGTCTTTGGTTGTCGTTGAAATATGCTGGGACAGTAACGACGGCCTTTGACACCTTCTTGGCGAGTTTGGTCTCAGCAACTTCTTTCATCTATTTGGAAAGCAAGTTAGTTATCAATCGCAATGCTGAGTGAGTACTTATGCAGAGCCGTGTATATATAACAACCAGCAACAAGTTACGCACCTTCATCAGGACCATGGAGGAAATCTCCTGAGGAGAGAAAGTCTTGGTCTCGCCCAAGTACTGGACCTGGACAAGAGGGTTTCCGCCCTGCTCAATGACCTTGAAGGGCCACGACTCGACATCCTTCTTGACAACTGGGTCATCGAACCTCCGTCCAATCAAGCGCCTGTAGGAAACCATCCCGGTTAGTAGCCACTCCCTCGGCTAAATAAACGTATCAAAAAGAGCCCTACTCGTAGGGAGAACAAACTCACTTGATATCAAAAACGGTGTTTTTGGGGTTCATTGCGGCTTGATTCTTAGCCGCCTCACCGATCAAACGCTCATCATCGGTGAACGAGACAAACGAAGGGGTTGTAAAGCTACCCTGCTCATTGGCAACTGTGTGGAGGGAAAGAAAGACATTGTTAGCGTACTGATGCGTCAAAATCCAAGGGTGAAATTTGTCGGGAGAGGAGGAGGAATATATATATGGGTGTGTGTGTGTATGGTGTGTGTGTGTGTGCTGCAGATTTGTGCGGTGGAGGAAACACATACTGATCTCAACATTGCTGCCCTCGTAGTTAGCAACACAAGAGTACGTAGTACCTATAATGCAGGAAGGTAATATTAGCAATTATATTCAATCAATTCATGATGCCTTATCCTCCATAATATATAATTTAGATTCGGGTTGTGCTCTGCGAAACAGGCAGGCTGGAGGGGTTACGGGAACGGAAAAAAATTACACACCAAGATCAATGCCGATGGCACCCTCGTAAACTTCCTCAGCCATAATGAAAAGACGTGCTATATGTCTTTCTTTGTTAAACTTATTCAATGAAATGCCAAAAGAGGGATGAGGGAAGGAGAACGACGAAGGGAGGAGAGCGGTAGGTGAAGAGTATGGAGATAAGAAATCAAAACAGTGAAGATTCTGTGGAGGTTTATGGTTTTTTATTTATGAGTATTATTATCTTTTTGATTTTGATTTTGATTTTGATTTTTTTTTTTTTCGCCAAACAATTTAAAAAAAAAAAATAGCCTTTTAAAAATTGAATTTTCGAGTCGTAGTGAGACTAGCCTGTTTGGGACATTTTGCCAGCAATGGATGCTTAGTCAGAGGCTTTCCCTCTTAACTAGTTAACATTGCGATTGAACAACAGCAGGAATAACCCATATAAAATATCAATTAGCTGTGTATAATCAGTTGTAAATTATTCCCTAGCTGCTATTCTGTAGATAGCTTTGTGACCCTTAGTACTACAGTACCAGAAAAAGAAATACCCCCGTTGAAAAAAGAAATAAAAGAAATAAAAGAACGATATCAGCTGCAAAACGCATGAACGCCTGGAATTTGGCCCGCCCTAGATTAAATCTGCCACCCAGTCACCCGAAGGTCACAAACGCGCCGGATATCGCTGCAAAACTATGTCAAAACAAATCGAAGAGAATGAAGGAAACAAAGGAAACAGGGAGAAAGAGAGACGGAAAGTAATAAAATATATGTGCAAAAATTGTTACACAAGTTCTCGCCAGAAGTGCCAGGAAAAAAAAAAAAAAGTCTGAAGATGTCTAGCGACAATCCCCTGATTAATTTAGCACTTGCTCTCACGCTCTCATCAGGTTAGCATAGACCGTCAACCTCTCGTATTCGGCATCTTGACCGGGTGATGATTTCAACCCACTTCCTCCTCGAGTGGCATAAGAGGACATTTCAATATCAATCTTGGTAACGCCGACACCCAGTCGGACCTCATAATAGGGTTCTGTTGGGTCCATGGTTCGTGACGGTGACAACATCGGTGACAGAAGTTGGCTGCCGATGGTAACGGTGAGCTGCGTCGTTCGTTGTAGTGAGCTTGGGATAATCGTTGGAGAGACGCAGAGAATGTGGTGTTTTGCCGGGAGGTTGATCGTTATTGACTGTTGTAGCTGTGCTGATGAGGGTGGGATGTCTAGAAGAAATGATTGTCGCAGGTCGAGGTTTGGATGGCTGAATAACCTGACGTTGGATATCAAACGGCCTAATTTCAATGCTTCAATTTAATTTTTTTTCCTCTGCTGATTATTTTCAAGGGATATCCTTTCGTCTAATGTGGACGCTTACCTTTGCCAAGATGTGGTGCTCTTATGTTCATCGGAAACGCAGTTGGGGCCGGGGACGGGTATGGATGTGAACTGGAACTGACTGGTTGCAACACTTCGTGTGCGTTGTTAGGCTGAATGGGAACGGCGATCGTAAATGGGGCCATTATTTTCGGTGGCTCAGCAGAGCCGGAAGCATCGCGGGACGGCTTCATGGATTCTTGACTAGACAAACTTCTGAGATTGGGAGTCGATACCCCTGGGCCTTCAGTCTTGACGGCTGAAGAAGGTCGGCCAGGTGATGCTCCTGCTACGTGTCGTTGTTGCTCTTGGTCCTGCGAGCGCGTGTTTCGAATAGATGCGACCCTTGTTCCAGAGCCAGATCGATCTCTTAGGTTTCTCCTTGGAGGTGTTGGTCGATCTGGCATATCCAAACCGTTTGAACTTGCCTTAACGTGCTCTTTCTGCCTACGTAGGGCTTCGGTATCTATAGAAACACCACCTTGACCATGTTCCATGACTGTCGAATGGCCAGCAATTTTCCCCGAAAGTCGCAAAGTCAGTTTCTGCGGTGCTGGCTCTGGAGTTTTCGTGGTTCCCATGCGAAGTTTAATACGAGGACCCGTGCTATCGCCATTCGGGGTGGATGGAGGATCAGGAATCTTCTTTCGTGCCTCTGCAAGGAGTCGAAGGAAATATTCCTAGAATTTCGGTCAGCAAAATCAATACATGGGAGAAAAGTCATGCATTTCGACGACAAATACCTCAAGAGAACCAGCAAGGGCGACTATTTCGCTCCCATCTTCATTAAATTCCCTGGCATTGCGCCAGATATAGCTTACTTCTTCCTCGAAAGCGTCCCACGTCTTAAACGGGGTGGCTTTCGTAGAATTCTTCCGTCCATCTGTGCCTCGAACGAGTTTGAGGATCGCTCTTAGGGACACGGGGTGCTTGATTATTTCATAATACTCCTTGTACAAATTCCGATCTGGCATACTGAGGAAAGGGAAAAAGACTTCTTCGCCGCTGAAGGGGTATCAGTACTCGCTCAAACTAGGCAGAAGCTTGGCCGCGCATAACCACAAAGTCGACTCACTCTGAATCTTTCAGTCGCATCATTCCCGCGATTATTTTTTCCTGGGCACTTTCGAAGGTTTCCCCCTCAAAGTTGAATATTTCGTTGTCATTTGCCTCGTCCTCCTGATCCAGGGCAGGCGTCTCGGTTGTGGATTTCTTTTCTTCTTCTCCGCCAGCATCCTCCACATTGCCCACTTCAGGGGACTGGTGGTTTTCTTCATCATCTCCATCCTCTTCAGGTATAGGAGTAGCAAATGGTGCGTAATTCGGATCGTTATATGCTGGGTTTATCGTGGGCATTCTATTTGCGACTAGTTTCCGTATGCGCTCTGCATTCGAAAAAATCATTGAACCCTTATCATTGTAGTATTTGGCATTGCTGACCATTCTGCGGAGGTCGCTTTCCACAGGAGTCAAACAAGGGTATTGGTGCTTCCTCAGTTTGCTCTAGACATCGCAACATATTTGCATCAGTGACCAACCTGCGCAATGATTGTTCGACGTGAAAGATATCACAAAGTTGCTCATAGAAAATTTAACCTTACCTCCACTATATCTAAGGCAATAGGAAGCCGAATTGCTTGGTAATAATGAGGGTTCTCTTTCTGTTGAAAGGACGGGGATTAGTCGGCTTTTTTTTCTTTTTTTTTTTTAAAAAAAAAAAAAAAAATCATGTTGAATGGAGAGGCCATCGAAGCTCACCCGGTTAGGAAGATGAAGAAATTCAGTTGCAACAAGTTGTCCACTATCGCAGAATTTCAAAAAGTTTACAAGTCAGCCTCTCCATGCTGAGTCAATCGGGAAAGGCTCCGCCGGAGCTCCAAACACCTACTGTTTATCCGTAGCTTGTTTGATTTGCGCGAGTAATTCTAAGCCGGCTTCTGTGGTTTTCTCGGGAGTTTCGTCGGTTTCGGGGACAAAAGTCTAGTCGTATCAGCCGTTAGTCCATATACTTAGGCAAAACAACGATAACATGAGTTGAGCTGTAGGTGGGGTCTCTAGCGGGGAGTCGGGCAACAGATCGCATTTGTGCCCTCCTGTCTCTAAAACAATCCATTCCAACTTTCAAAAACTAATGCTAGAAAAACAGAGCGACAGACTTACTGAGGTCCTGCGCCGCTTCTGGCCCTTTGTTGGTCCCTCTGGAGACCCTGCGACGGCTCCCCGTCGTTTTGTTGTCATGCTTGTGGAGGCTGCCCGGGAATAGGTGTGGTGCGGGCTCCGAGAAACAGAGCAGAAAGGTTCGCAGTGGTGTGGCGAGGGGATGGGAAAGAGGAGTCGGACATAAGAATTGCAAGTAGTAGGAGTGCTCGTACAGCCAAAGAAGACAAGAGTACGGGCCACGGTTCTGATCAAAAATGGCGGAACTGGATCTCTCAGCGCAACCTGCGGCGTTCGAACTCACGATGATGCTGGAGCGCGCCGATTACGAGGTATCTCGATGTTCGCTACGGGAGACCGGACAGCCACAGAGGCCAGAACAGGCCGGTACGGTACGGTACGGCATGCAGGGGTACTGTCTCATTGTTTTGCATTGTAATTTACGTAACTGCTCTGTATATAGACTGTAAACAGCATGCCTAAACCGTACAATAAATACCAAGTACAGACTTTTGGTGTTCGTCCCTCATTGCTACAGATTGCCAACCCCAACTCCAACCTTTCCCTACACACCATTTCTCCTGTTCTACTGCTGCTGCTACTGGACTCCTTTGGCCTCTGCTTGCGAGGTTCGAAACAAAGCAAACCCCCCACCTTCCAACGGAAAAAGGTGCAACTTCACAGCTTTGCGCTTCCCCTCTTCGTTTGGTGCCGCAGGCCTTCATCTGCATTCCACACACGCCCTCTGTCTTTTCTGCTAGAGCCACGGGCATCCAGAAACACCTTTGTCGGATATCGTTCCTCCTCATCTACAATAGCTTTCTTGTGTGATCGTCCATCGTGTCTCGGTCAACAATCATCTCCCCCAGTGGCCACTATATCCCGCGTCTGGATTTGTCCTTGACGATCACGATCTTGACGCGCGAGAAGGCTATTTACCGATTTACCTAGATAACTTGTTTGGCATTTATCTCTATCGTTTCTCTCTTTCTTTTTCTTTCTTTCTTTCTCTCTCTCTCTCTCTCTTTCTTTCTTTCCTTTTCTTTCCGTGCAAAAAAGAAAACTCTCTACACTTTGAAACCATGAACATCGACTACTCCCGAAGGAATAAGAAACCCCGGCTACTTCTGGAGCCGGAGAGGCAGGAATTGGAGGAGTTTATCGAAGCCATACATTATTCCGCCAGGTATGTGCGCGTATCTGAGTCTACACTTCTGGGGGTTGTACAAGAAACGAATCCGTCGAAGCCAAGAGCAAACCAAGAAAAAAGTATTTGGAAACCCCTTCCAGTCTAACTCCATCTGTGTAGATATTCAGACAGCGAGTTCGAATATCGCCATGTCCAGCTGCCCAAAAATATGCTTAAAAAGATACCTACCGACTATTTCGATACATCGAAGGGGACACTGAAGTTGCTGTGGGAGGAGGAGTGGAGGGGCCTGGGCATCACGCAGGTATTTCGATCCTGTCTGGTACATATTATAGATGTTATAACCATCGTGGAACAAGCTGACAAGGCCATGTCTCTTCCTCATTTAGAGCTTGGGTTGGGAACATTACGAAGTCCACGAACCAGAGCCCCACATTCTGCTTTTCAAGTTAGTTTTTGTGTTCCATTCGTTTCACCACCCAGATGGACAATGTTCTGTTTTGTTATAGTTTTCTGTCTCACATAACTGACTTGGTTGGTATGATACAGGCGACCAATTAATTACCAACCGCCCACGAATTAGTTAACCTGGACTCTCTCATCTCTCCAAAAGGAACACAAAAACAACTAACGACATATGCTTGGGCGTTCTTGCATTTGTCCACGATCATCAAGCCAGGTCTCCGAAGAGTAATGTAGATCTCAAGTGATCCATTCATACTTTTTCGGGATTAGGCTTCAAAATCGACTTTGGGAATTAAGGCAATATTTTCCGAGATTCCTTAAATCAATTGATTTGTTTGTTTGACTCTCCTTGCTGTTTTTTTATTCCCATATAGATATTTGATTTTCACTTCCATCTTCGTTTTTATGTTGCGGAAAGAGAAAAAAAAATCCACGTGAGCCCGTTCCAACACATCCCTCTCACATTCTCATTAGATGCTACACGTATGCGTCAATCCATAGTCTCTCCTTTGCACAAATAGTTGTCCTTCCCATGTTTAATCGTCAGAATTTCCAGGCATCGTCTTTGCGTTCCTTGATTCTGATATTCCTAAAGTCACTCAACGGACCGATAATAATCAAACGACATTCTTCTGAAGCCATTCCTCCCATTGTTCGCGTGTAAAGCTGCTACTAATGGATCTCTCCTCGACTCCCTTTTTAAGAAAAACAATATGCTCTGGTTAGCATGAAGAGTTCATTTTTACTAAAACCGCAATCAACTCCAAACATCAACTTCCAACAACGGTTGTATAAACACACCGCGTGAAAAAAAACTTACATCAAAGAACACTGTAGGGGTAACATGCGTTCCAACCACCCGCGCGGCCTTTGGAATATATCAAGTTAACATCCACCGCTAAATGGATCGATCTCTACAAAGAGACAAAAGGGGGTTAAAACACACCTTGACCATCAGCTTCATATCAGTCGTAACCCCATTCCCGATATTCAAATTCCCATCCTTATCCGGCTGATCGCTAATTTTCAGCAACTTCAACATCGCCCCCTCATCAACACCGACTTCGGCCCCGATCTTTGCCAGGCGCACATACGTGTCGTTCCTCTTCTCATTAACGACACTCACATCGAAGAACTCCTTCTGTTTGGAGAATAGCGCAGCGCTGAATGGCCAGAATTTCTCCGGAGCAAGCTTGAGGACGGCTAATCCCGCTTCGTGTGTGAGGGTTGAGGAAGGGTGCCAGGGCTGGATTTGTTGGCGAAATATTACCTGGAGGTGTTTGGAGGATGCGGAGTTGGGGTTGTTGAGGAACGCGGTTATTAGTGGGTAGAAGGTGTGGAATAATTTGGCGGAGAACTAGATTATATATATACGTATATACATATTAGTTAACTAGTAAATATTCACAGAATGATTTGATGACGGGGGAAAAGTAAGAGGTCTTACGGGACAAACATAATCCAAGTCTGATGGAAAATATTAGCTAGCCATTTAGCCATTGTGCCATGTTTATCATGTGGTTTCTGTAGTCTATGTGCCCTACGCAATAATATATATGAATTGGACTAAGGGGAGATAGGATGCCAACTAACAAATTTCCAGCGTGTGCTTAGTGCCCACGAAGCCTCCGGCGGCGAGCTGCTGGCCAGCAAATCTAGGTGCGAGGGTCATTTCCGTTTTATTTTGGACGATTCGTTCGAAGGTACTTTTTCGATACGGCCGAACAGATATAGAAAATTGGCTTCTTCAATGTACGTAGTCAGCGGATGCAATGAAGATTATATATGCGGGATGTTGTGTAGATGGAGGAGGGGTTGACATGGAGGGGTTGACAAGGAGGGGTTGGCCGCTGTTTATGACAACTGCTTACCATGGATGATGATATCATACCCCGGCTCGAAATAGCGGGTATGCACAAGGATGACAACAACTTCATAGTATCGATTAGCAAAAAGCCGATGTTCGAGCCCTGCTCATCCAGGCTCCATGGCTGTTGTGGCTCAAAGGTTCATCTTCAATTGTTACTAGAACCCCAAAGTTTGTGTCGGATGCATCGGGATGTTTTTGAGGTTTTCAACTAAGTGTTTGGAAGTACCACCCCAAATAGGGCCATTTCTATTTGATTGCTGGCCCGTTACAGGACAGGAATCTGGTTCATTGACTATAGGAATCCATGTACAAGTGCATTCTCAGACTCTTGAGCACGTGTTGGTCTTTCCGATTGGGGACATGTCTGTGTATGAGATTTTCCTTTCTCAAGTTCAATATATATCGCATACCTTACATGGGACAAATTTATTCACCCTTGAGCAAAGAAAAAATACCCAATCGTTCCTAATGTAAAACAAAACACCTTAGACGCCACCACCAGCCAATTGAGATAAACACCGATTCGAAAGTAAAGTATATAAAAGAGGTGGCGTAAGCAAGAAGAAAACAGTCAATCGAGTGTCTAGAGAAAGCGACAGCCGCTGGGAAGGAGAAACCATGGGAAATTGACAGAAATGATTAGACAGGTGAAAGTTGGTCATGAAGGAGGGGAAAAGCAGTGCTAATAGTAATTGTATGTATGTACATGTACAAGTGCGTCACATTTAGCCTGGTCGGATCATGAAAATTTCAAGAATCGGGCACATTGGATTCCAGCACCGCTCTTTGTGGCGGTAGCCTGTTAGCGGCATCCGATCTATAAGGAAATGTGTGAAGTATCTGTACTTCTATCATATACCAGTTTTTCGTGGTCGGCTCGTAGATTCCCACAACGTGAGCTTCACAGCCACCTTTAGGGCCTCTGAATCTGACAACGCCATTCATCTTGAAGGATCCATGTTGCGGGGTTTTGTTTGTGTTTTTCCGCCGGGTTAGCAGCAGGAATAATGTAAATATTTTCATGGCGTTGCGGAAGTCGGAGGCCGGCTCTCCCGGTACCCCAGGTTCTTTTTGCAGAGCTGAACTGGGCTTGGGAGGCTCAAAATCCGTGGAGTTCCCATGTCTGGCAATTTCTGCCTGAGTTGTTTCGGTTGTAATGGGATATTTCTGACGGGATCTAACAACATCGGACGGGCCACTAGAGCTCGAATGGGTTCTGCTATGCTGATTGTTGACCTTTTTTTCTTCACCCAGGTCTGACGACGCAACCCTTAATAGTTTTCGAAGTTTTGCTAGTTTTGCTGTTACCAAATACTCCCCAGCTGCCCAGGTTGAAATCACAAGGGGCCACGGTTCGAATACGCTCCGAATCCAGTCGCCACGGTTTGTTGGTATCGGGCGGGTCGTCCATGCTATGTCGTCGTCTCTAAGCTCGAATCTACACGATATATCGTTAGCAGAAATGAATAGCTCAACCACTTTATTGCCCCAGCAAGTTACCTACCCCGGTTGGACATAGCCCGACGGCTTCTCGCTGGGGAAAGCGGGCCTAATAGTGGTGTATTTGTTTGGCTTAAGCGGCGAACCAGTCACATCGATAATAGCTTTCACCGTAGGCTTTCGGTTCACGATCGCTGTCGCTTGGGCTACTAACTCCGCTGGAGGGAGGTGAGGATCTGGAATTTTGACAGAAAGGGCTATGCAGGAACGAGTGATCTTTACCTCTTAATTGTTTAAATTTGGTTGTCTCAAGTGCATATGACCTGAACGTTTTCCATTCAGGATCATTTTCAGTATACAGTCCACCAGGTACGGAATAGGGAAGGCCGATTGGAATGAATGGCACACCGTCATTGTCGCGGTGCCTATCCCTCTCAGTATGGATTTTTGATTGCAGGGAACTGTCTTCATCAATATTTTCATCCACATCCTCCAAACGATCTAGTGAAGGTCCAATGAGCGCGAAATACACTTGTGTCGCAACGACCGCCGTGAGGATCGTGGATATCCCTCTTCTTGTATGCTGGTCAGTTTATTTTACCCATAGATGGAGTTAAACTTGATAGATATTACATACCTAAACCATGGCCTTTTGAACCTCACTCGCTGAACTTTTACCAGTCCATCATGCCTGCTAAACGATCGCTGAGTAGTCCTGGACACTAAGAAGTGATAGGCTGGAATGACTCGTCTAAAATTTTGAAACATTTGGATTACTTCTGCTTCAAAACTACCATTCTGTGTGGCGGAACAGGTATATTGTGTATCACCAGATCATTGGAGCAATCAACAGCCCCGGAATCGACTGTGATATATGACGTCGGTCAGTATCTATGGCGGAAAAGAATAACAATAAGTATTGAATGTCAACACAGTATGTATATGGATGTTATTATTGAGTGACTGAGGAGGGCAAAGTTGTCACTTGGAAGATCAAATGTCAAATGATGCCAAGGATTTTCAATCCCGTGACCACAGTTCAATAAATTCCTTGGCGAGGGACCCTTCCAAATAGCTTTACATACAAAATAACCATCGTTCTAAGGGAATCCAAATGGCCAAGAAAAACCCCTACTCTATACTATTCTCTTGTGCATACTAGATTATCTGAGATATCAAAGCCCCTCTACAGTTTGCAGGGGAAGGGGGTGATAATTGTCAATCCTTTTCCACCAGGATACGGCCCCGACTTAAGTTTCAACTGTATGCTTGCCTCGTGTTGAAAGATATTACGAATTCTTGTCTAAACTAAAAAATTTACAATTCTCAATTAATTTTTTAGAAGCTTATAATCACTCTCAATCCTGCTCTACAAACTCTTGACGAGTTGTTTTCTTGGCGAAAAGGATGATCAAATATGAACCCTCCAGTCAGTCAAGATACTTAGAGGATACTTACTAGTACTCGTAGGATAATAAGTAAGAAGATAGAAGGACTATTAGTATTGCAGACACACCGAAGCTAGATGCACACTGAGAGCATTACTGTGTAGTGAGGATGACTATACTTGAGAGCCAAATGTTGATTAGATGAATTTCATATAGCAAGTGTCCAAATCCTCCTATTGTATTAGAAGTCGGACTCCCAGGCGCCCGAATGTAATGGAAAATGATTGGAGTTGCAAGGTAGTGGCAACATTGTCTATATAATGCTCGCCGATATCCAAAGCGATTAGCTCTGAACATAAGAGATTGCTACATTAGTGTATATATATATATATATTTCAACTTGCGTATTTCACACTACTCTTGTTGTCACCACCACTACATCCTATCACCCTGTAGCCACCTCTCATTCTGGGATTATATCGATTGCCTATAAATATCACAGGTTTCCCTTTGCGGATCGCCCGCCGTCGTTCTGGCATATTCTCCTCAATCGTTTGCATCCGCCGTAGAAGCTCATCATAATCTGGGGGATATTGGGGGTATTGTAGAAATTCTTTGCGTATTTCAGGCAGTGCCTTGCTTCGCAAGTTATCCATTCTCTGTTCCTCAGTATATGCAGGTAAGTAATACTCCCAATCCTCAAGATATTTGGAGAACTCGCGTATTGTCTGCCATTCCTTTTGATAGGCATCCTGAAACCGTTGGCTTGCCATTCGACGTTGGTTCTCCGGGTCATTTAGCTGCATTTCCAGATGCGGTAGCATATCATAAAAGGTTAACGGCGTTGCTCCATCACACTTCTCATACGCAGCTACGAAGTTTAACCACTTCTGTTTAACACGAGCATCGAGGTATAGTTTGGCATCATTTATCTTGCGATCTTCCGTTCGATAGAATCCATAATATTTCCAGATTATATGCCTGATAGCGTCTTTCCGCTTCCGTGAGTTTTCTTGACCAAAATGCGATCGGGTGCCAGTGGCCATCATCCATAAGCTGTGATATTACAGCTGCAATTGCCACACCTGAGATCATGTCGTGCGAAGAGGGTTAACATGCGATCCTTGTAGTCCTTAAATTCTAACATGTTCTTTCCCTTGTAGTACCCTTTGATTTCTAGTCTCAGTGGCGCTTCGTCATCGCTGCCGCCAGGCCATTTATTGCCCTTATCGCCTATAGTTCGGGCGGGCGGGCGGTGGCTCAGCAGCGGTTTTCTGGCTAGGCCGGGACACGACAGACGAATCTTCACAGATCTACGCATTTCAATTCATCAAGGCGCTGCGTGCGCGTAGGATAGCCGGCTGCTGTTCTCATTCGCGGATCTGGTTGTTCAGTTGTTGCAGTCGTATGCGTGATCTTCGGAGGCAGTGGAGGATTCAGGTTGGTCCCCAGGGCCCTTCGTGGGTGGACGTCATCTTGCGTGGTTCGGATAATCTCGCAAGCGTTATTCAGTGAGCCTGCGTATCAACGGGCCACTCGAGTAAGGTTATGAGCGATTAGAATTGTAAGAGGTGGCTACAGGATGATAGGATATAGTGGTGGTGACAGCAAGAGTAGTGGGAAGTACACACGTTGATATATATAGACAACGTGTCGGAGCTGATATCTCGTATATCAAGGATCAGAGATGACATCATGCTATAATCTGCCTTGTTGCCTATTTTACTTCGCCTTCTTCGAAATTGCCTTGCTGCGCATTAGGGCACTGCCCCGCTTGTATAATCAAGCATATTCTTCCTTATAAATACTGCCTGCTTATCATGTAATTATCGGAGTAATAAGAAGCAATTCAATTTATTTCATTGATATTCAGTATTTGGGTCAATATTCGGACTTTATCCAGTTCCGACACAACGTCACCACATCAGTTTGAGCGCCCGGGAGTCCGGCTTCTAAATTTAGATATTTTTGTAATTCCCTATACCTTTGGGTGAGTGGGACTAGCATAACATGAAGACCGAATTACGAAAGAATGAAAACAAATATATATGGGCCTCACAGAAATTTACTGGACTGGATATTAAGAATCTAATTCATATATCTACCACCTTCATAGAGTGTTCTAAAACAATTTAGTTTTAGGGAAATGGCTGACGCAAGGCGCCACACTAATCCTCTTCCATACTAGTCTGCCCAGCGTCATTCTGGGATCTGCAGCTGACAAAAACTTTAATTCAACAGTCCACTTCAATAATCTACTTCCAAGCTAGTTAATATGGAGGGGCCAACTCTTTGTGCTTTCGACTTTTTCAGAAAGGTTACATATATCCGAATTCTGGTGGGTTCTATAGGCGTATGACACAACGTATATGTGTCTAAATAATTATTATATTTTTTAAGGGATGTCATTTGAGTGCGATATTTATAGCCTTGGTGATTTGTTGACTCTCCCTAGCATACGCAGCATGCAAAATTGACCTGCATCACAAATCCAGTACGCATCGACACAAGTATCGCCTGATCTTGGGTGCAGAGGAGATAGGCCATTGGGACATGTTTATAGCCAGCGTTTGTCAACGGATGGTTACTAGTTTATATAGACTCGGCGTGGGGTTCCAATTTCTTGACAAGCTCATCGGCCATCAAGGAGGGAAGGTTGTTGTAGAATATTTTCGTGTATTCTCAACCGCTGTCCGTTCTCTCTGATCAAACATGTTAACTATTGGACATGATGGCCTGTTTGAAGAAAACACCCTACAGCCTTGTTTTTGATTTACATCGCTGGCGATGCGAACCCACCTGAAATTTAACTCATTTGGGGACGTTCTCAGTAAATATTTCCCCTTCTACATCCGTAAGTCTGGCGAAATATACGAGATGAACGATGCCACCCTTCCTGTCTTGCGCCAACCTATCCGATTTCAACAATCCCTTTGTGCTCTAATCGTCGCAAATCCGCTATCTGAATGCATAACCAGATTAACATCCTTTCCTTTATTAGCCAGCACGTAACCGTTTTCCGAACAAACACTATGACGTCCAATAGTGTGCTTTTTGGATCCAGACCAGCAGGAGGGAGATGAAGAACGTGAACTCCACCATTTGCATTTAATTGATCACAGATGGTACATCAACAAGATAATGGAGACACCACCTCCAACACTGATCCCCAAATCTTATCAGGGATTAAACGATTTTACGTGATTTATCCTCTAACTTATATGTGTATTTTATTCAGAAATTGATGACAATTAGCATCCCCCGTGACGGCGGCAGATGCCAACATGCTGGTTGCTCGCATGTCACCCTGTGTACTACGAGGTCCTCTGTAGATAGAAAGCAGCAACTTCAGATAATAAGAATATCCCGCCTACATAATACCAAGTGAGATACTTGAGGAATCATGAAAATAATTTAAACTAAGAGGCTATTCCGTATATCAAGATTTTTTTTCCCCCTTTTCTTTTTCATAGCCTGCGAGCCATAGCTTTTTCTTTAGTTAGTCGCCGTGCAACCCCGTTCACACGAATGACTGAGAGTTTTTGTAAACTTAAGCTCACAAATTCGAATCTGAATCTTCAAAGCTGAAAGGCCTCAAAATGGCCAATGATGACTCGTAACACTGGTTCAACACGATTCAACTTCCGAGCAAAACGTACTGATAATAGTAGTAGTAGTAGTAGTAGTAGTAGTAGTAGTAGTAGTAGAAATGTGAACCCTGTCTATTGCATTGACATGGATTTCCTTCCTCTCACTGATATTTGGAGTGCGCTTGACGGATGACACAATCATTATAGCAGGAACATCATCTTAAAAATAGGTCAAATAAATCATATATACATTTCCTCAAAAGTAAACGGGCGAGGCAAGTTAAAATATAATACCCACTGCCTCCACTGCTATTCCGTGTCAACTTTTCTCCCCACATTGGTATTTTCTGGCACAAATTCAGTTTTGGTATATCTTGAAAAGCTGGAGGTTTCAGATGATGGCTGCCAATCACATCGTGAAAATGCAGTGATATAGATGATGTAGCTCGTTTTCCTTCCACGAACAAAAACAATAAATATTTGCGTTGATATTCAGACTTTTTGATCTCCATTTGCACATGTTAGCACTTTTCTTGGCTTCATCCCTGTGCAATTGAATATCAAATTAGCCTCTTATTATTAAAGTCTGGCATTGTATGCTGGTAATATCACTAAATTTCAAAGATATGCTTTGTGCTTTACCGGCTGCTATGGCAAACTCCTTGCCCGCAGTAAGTATTGGTCCTAAATTAAGTGGATGGTAAATAACGTCAACTAATATATGTTAAATTCCTGCTCAATAGGGACACGATATGCACCTGTGAGAACCGTTTGTTGGCCGCAAGGGGTATCCTAGAGCCCTGAAGTCACCTTTTCCTTTCTCACTTGAGGAAAATAGTGTAAAAAAAAAGTTTTCCATATGGCGGCCGGTGCTGTGCTATCACACCAATGTGGCAATCCTTTCCTGTGAATATATACTGGCTTTTTGAATCGTAACTCGGTTATGTCCCTTGGAAGTTGAAGTTTCGTAGGGTATGAAAAGATATTCCAAATCAATGAATTGGTGAAGCCTCAGTTTCTTATCTATCTCGACAAAATCTACTCTGACGAGGCTAACAAAGAACACCTTTGGCACGTTGGCCACCATCGAATCTTCGATCAATTCCCAGTCAACATCATGCATGACACCTTCAAATATGAATATAAAGTAGCTCTATTGAGAGCTAGAAAAAAAAGATATATCCCTTCTGATGATGCAGAATTGTTGAATAGATGAAATTAATTGTTGCAATTCATTCAGATAGTTATATATCTCAAGAAATAGAACTGTCTTGCCAATAACCTTGCACTAATGAATTCATTGAAACCTTTTGACTATTCTAACCGGACTTGGCAGAATGGTGCAGCTAATGTCAAATTGGGTTAGAACAAGTTCTAGTTTAGCAACTGAGATTAGCCGCCCATCCATGGTTTGGCCTGATCAGAGAGCTTCAACGTCAGGCCTCAGAGCCCGCAGCACGCCAGCAACGGGGACAATATCACTACTGCAATTTCTTTACAGCTACACACCAGAATTCTGTAGATCCGCCAGCGCCAGGAGTTAGCTGGATTCCCCATTCTTCACCTCGCTTTTCGCCCGTTTCCTGCTGTCAACCAGCCATATTGCAGCATGAGACCCCTTCTTTCACTTCTGCCTCTTTTGAGCTCTGCGATCACCGGCGGAGTTGCCTACGATGCAAGGGCTTACACATTCGATGCACGGCAACCGTCTGTGCCGCCGGTCAACCGAGCAGTTACTCCGGAGACAGCGAGGCTAATATTAGCCAACCGATTAGGGCTATCAGAAGGTGCAATGCTAGGTCAAGCCGACGAGACTCTTATCCGGGATCTGAATACATTTGGAGGGACACAAGCGCCCATTATGGGTTCTACATCAGTTGGTGACTGTTCAGCGAAGATGCTACTTGTTTGGGAGGGTGTTGATGTTCCTGATCGTAAGTCACCGACATGGCACTGAGCGTCAGAACCAGAATGCTAACACTGAGCATCAATAGTCGCATCTGCTTCAAAATATTCAACCGATTCCTTCACCATCCCTTCTGCCCCTGCTGGGCTAGTCAGTGAATCGTTTGCTGAAAATTTGCTCACCTACTCCTCTGCTGAGCGGTCTACACCAAAGCTATGTTCATACGATTTTGCGGTAGATGGTGGATTCCGGGGAACGTTAATTCTGGTAGGAGCATTTTCAAATTTGAAAATGAGATTACCCTCCCGTGACTAATAATGGATTTTATGACCAGCATGTAAACCAGTGCCCTTCAACGAAAGACATCTTCTCCACAAGTTCGGAATTGAGCGAAACTGCATTCCGCCAGTTTATTGCCCAAGGCGCGAAAGGCTGGGGAGGTGGATGTATAACCGCTATTATGAGGATCTTCTCCGAGGTGAGATACGTTTGCTAACTGCGCAAACGCTATGTATTTGGAGCCAAAACAGCTAACTTACCTCTTTTTAGTCAAACACACTCGCAGTACGAAAAACTGTCTTTGCCACCCTTGCAGATTTTAGTATCCTAGCAAAGGAATCCAACCAGGAATCTATTATGATATTTACTTCTCCTTCGCCATCATACCACATGCTTCAACGCCGACCTGGAGAAACTGAGATTATGTCGCCGAAACCCATACAGCGACGATCCGTAAAGAACCCCGAGTCTGGCCACAAATTTCCTTCAACCATGATGCCTGTTTGTTACAACAGCAACAAAACCTGTACAGAAGTGACAAAACAATGCTCCGGCCACGGGACGTGTTACCGAAAATTCGCTTCTAAAGAGAACTCCAGGGGCGACTGCTATGCCTGTAAATGCAGCAGGACTGTTGTGCGAACGAACAAAGATGGCACTGTTAAGACAATCCAGTGGGGTGGGCCGGCATGCCAGAAGCAGGACGTCAGCACGCCTTTCTTTCTTATTGTTTCCTTTTCGATCCTACTCGCTTTTGCTGTTACTGGAGGCATCCGGATGCTCTTTAGTGTTGGGATGGAAGATTTGCCTGGCGTCCTCGGTGCCGGGGTTGCTGTACCAAAATCTCAAAAATGAGCTCTTTATTCCGTCCCCTTAACGGTTATCTTTTATATATTTATAGTTCTCTATTGGCGTGTGGGTATTTGCCTGAGTTACATCTTCGAGGCTATTTTCTCAATTTTCATTTTGACTCCAGTTGCATCTGGTTTTGCCAAGTCAGGATCTCGTCTTATTATACAGGGCTTTTTCTGTTCTTAATTTCTTGGGTTGTCATGTTTTTTTATTGCTTTGGTTCATGTCTCTTGTAGTACATACTATCCATCATCCATGGGCTACCTCCTCGGCGCCAACTAACTTCATATTAAGTATATATAATGGCACAAGCAAAATAGTTTTTGTATTTTCTTTCCCTTGCCAGTTTCTCGACCCTTTTCATAAATACGACCAAGTGCTCTAGATCATCACCGGTACAAAAACACTTTGTTTGAGGGAAATATACCGGGCCGCTTTCGCCTTAAGACATGCAGTCCTTACGTCCTCTTTACTTATATATATATATATATATATATTCGAACAAACAAATAACATAAAACCCTTTCTCGAAACAACCTCAATTTCCCCAAATCATCCATCCCGTTTCGTACACCGATGGCGGCTTGTTTCCCTTCCCTCAAACCCTCCTCCCCGCCCCCTCCTTCCCCTCCCACAACAATAACACCAAATAATGTCCTCCCTCACACTCCAATACTTCAATAAAATAGCAGCGCCATTCTCCCTGGCTCACATGTCACGCATAGGGCTCAATGCGACTCTCCCACCGATCCCACCGAAGATACACACCCCCCTTCCTCGCAACTGCCATGCTAATCACTCACGACCACCAACCCGACACCAAGTTAGCTGGCTGCGGCTGAGGAAAACCTGCGAGGGGGTTTTACAGATGGTGTGTGCGAGGTAGCTACGTATGGAATATAAAGTAGTTGTTGTATATTTTTTTTTATTTAATTTAATGGAGCCGCCGGTGAAAGGCGGGAGCTGTAGGGGAGGGAGGGGGGGGAAGGGAAAAGGGAGGAAATATAAATGGCATGACAATGTGACTACTAACAAAAAAAAAAAAAAAAGCCAAGATATATACAATTCGTCGGTCTCATGCGAGGCCCCCTTGACTCCGCTAAAGGACAAAGGAACAAAAGAAATAGAAAGGAAAAGAAAAATGAATCGTCGATAAGAGCCTTAACTGCATCTAGTTACGTAAACGCACACATAAATGAAAAAAAATAAAAAAAATAAAAAAAAAATAAAGAAGAAAAGAAATATAATAGCTCCATTCATGTGATAAGAAAACAGGAGAAGGCAACTAGATTGAATAAAGGGGGGTTGGGGTAATAAGGCCTCCGAACGAAGAATCATCGAGAAAAATATGTGTGGATCGACTCTTAGGAAAGAAGGCATTCGTCGACTGATGGAGTGGGTATGGGGTATATTGCGGTGAGTGTTATGTACGGGAAGGGGGAATGTTTGGTCGTGACAAATTCATGATGGTGGTGCGAACAGATCAGCAAGCTTGGACGTGACAATTATAAATGGATAAGGATTTTAAAAAAAAAAAATATGAACACAAGACGCAATAGCGAACATATGTCGTGTAGCTAGGAACCTGTCCAATATGTGTTGAGTAGAGATGGAACGTAACATCTCAGATGGATATTTTCTGTGAGTTGCATATATATAACATTATAGATGTGTTTGTGCGTAGGTCCGGGTGTGCATTCGGCATGTGAAGGAGGAACATGGAACCTTCTCATATGAGGAAATTATGTTTCGAAGGGCAAAAATGAACTACCACGGCCAAAATTTATCCAATACCTAGATCCAACCCGAGGAATTCTAGCTTCTCTTCGAATCGCCGGGAGAAAGTGCGAACTGGGAGTAAAATATATGGCGATGATGGTCGAGGTGGCGGTTCGAGGAGCTTCAGTCCACCGCTTCATCCGAATATAGAGAAGCTATCACGTAGGAATACAGAGAGTAGAAGGGTGGAATGTTTGAAATTGGTGACCATTGAGTATTCGCTAGCGCATATGTCCTAAGAGATGTAAAGAGTGAAGTGGCACATCGTTGAGACATGAGAACACAACTTCGACTTCTTCAATGGTACCACGGATATGGCAAGCCGTTACAGCATGCACACATCTAGCTGCAGCGCTTCGGCTTGCAAACACAAGAAGATTCAAGTGGGCCCGGATTCAAGTTGCCGTGGAGATGGTTCACTAGCGGTGGTGGAAGCCCGTCCAGTTGCGTTTCGATTCCTTCTATCCGGAAGCCGCAATCGAGAAAAGGTTGCTGTGGGGAGATGAATGGAAGGGAGCCGTGATCTCCATGACGTTGAGCCATTAGGATTTGTGACGTCATCTGAAGGATTCGACTGTCCTCGTCGCCCTCTACGAAATGAGTTTGGCGACTGATAAACAGGTCTTGGGAAGCCTGGATATCGTTCATCGGGAGGAACTATGGTGATGAAGCGTCCTGGCAGAACGAGACGCGATACGAATGGGTTCCCACGGCCGGGGACATAAGTGCGTTCTGGCTGTGCAGGATCATTATTTCGACTCGTATTACGTCTGCCGCGGCTGGAAGAATTATTCTCGCTTCCTTCAGCACCCTCCGGGCGTGGTTTCGGAACGTAATAATCGGCTTTGCAAAGCGGACAACATGCACGTCGGCATGTCAACCAAGGGTCCAAACATGATGCATGGAATGCGTGGCCGCAGCTAAGACCACGCACGTCGTCATCGTCTTCAATAGTATCAAGGCATATTGCACAGGTATCCCCAGGGTTCGTAAGTAGCTCAGCAGGGATAGCATTACGGATATGTTCGTCTGCGTCATCATCGTCCTCCATGGAACCTGAAATTTCTTTTAGATGTTCACCTGACAAGCGGCTCTCCGCTCTTGAAGCCATTGTTTCCCTGTGCATCGCTGGCAGAATTCCGCTTTCTGGCTCTAGTTGCGGTACCGGTTCATTTGATGATTCTGGACTTGAAGTCGGATTTCTCGAGACAGGAGACTGTTGATTCTCTGTAGAGGCAAGTATGACGCTTCCCCCTTCGTTCTTCAAACTCGACGGCCTGCTGGTTGGCGCCTGTATACCCCCAGCAGTTGGGAGTCCTTCATCCGCACGATTTGCCCGCCATGTTTTGTATTTCATCAGAGGAAAGCGCGCGTTTACATCGTCCATGCTCATTAGCTTCTTTTCCCGCCGTCTTCGGTGGGTTCTCGGTACGGTAACCATGTCAATGGGGCTCGCCATTTTCTTCATTTCGTGCTTGCCTATTGCGCTGGTTATATCTGAAGCAGTATTTTACACCGACGATAATCCTACCAAGACATTTCACAGTTAGATTTGGATTATCATTTCTGGAGGCCAGCATAATTGGTAACATCTTACCAGAGATTAGTGAAAACCACACCAAAACCCAACGCAACAAAAAACAGCATAGGTGAACTCGTAGGACCCCCCGGACTGCTATTCGAGGAAGGATTCGTATTCGTGGGCTGTATTGGGGAAGTCCCCGTAAGAGTGTTTGACGCCATGACTCCTGTTTAATTATTGGGAGGAATGTGGGTGAAATGAGGTCGCGACTCCACACGCACGGCGCAATACCATTCCTTGTTCTCGAAGAAAGCCTACCCAGCCATCCAACAGTGTCTATATGTTATGCCAGCTCTTAACCACAGAGCTGGTGTGGCCAAAGACTCCCAGGTTGTAACAGGAATCTAACCGGACCGGACAACGAATTTCCGAACAGAAAAGGGAAGAACAGTATAACGAAGTCGAAATTTCTGTGGAGCTCAGAAGGATCCAGCCGTTGTAGGACTCCAGCCGATCTCAGCGCCAACCTTTGAGGTGGAATCCAGCGAGTGGCGTTGGGTTGAGGCACACGGGCAAATGGCGGATTGCCTGTTGGCGGGCTTCGCAATCGGGCAGACTGTTTGCAATCGCAGCAAGCACAACGGAGGTGAAAGATGGACCGAGAGAGAAGGGATGAAAGACAGCGAAGGTACGAAGTGATCAGATCGGCAACCGTCGAAGGGGGTCATTGGAAGCGGTCGAGGGCAGCGGTGGGTGGGTTGGAGGGAGAGTTGCTAGGTCGCTTGAGGAGAAAGTCTGGCTAGCGCAGATTAGCGCAGAGCTTGTGGGTGCGCCGCAGGTAAGGGAGGCGGAGAGTGACGACGCCGCCAGACTGCGGTGTCATTCGATGAAAAAATGTTATTCAGGGAACAGTAACTGCAACATGCGGCGACATCTGGGTTTAATATGTTCGGGGATACCCTCGAAGCTCCTGCGCAGGCTCATCTGCGCTTAACCGCCACTAGTCTTGCGGAAACAGATCCTCAAATGAAGGGTCATTAATCTGTACGACTTGCGATGGCTAAGGAACACCAATGTGTTCTGCTGGCCATTCATTATATCAACAGCCTGCTCTGTTTCATTTCAGGCTGGGGCTACGATTACTTCGCACATTGGGGTTGAAAAATGGCTACGAGTACGATCAGACAACTCAGAGATGTCTCGGGTTCATGGATCGCACTCTTGAGTATCGTATTTAAACTCAATGACGAATAAAAGACCAAAATAAAAACTCAAAAATGAAGCATCTATTACGAAGCATTATTCGATGCGACAAGAATAATAAGCGGTGGGTGCATACATCAATCAATCAATACAAACCAGGACATCTTACATACCATCCAGCTTCACAGCAAAAACCCAGCGAAAATTTGCCGTTGCCACTTGCGCTGCATCATCAAGCCAGAGCCAGTGTGGTGTGGCCAGAGACTCTGAAAACCGTGGGAAGGATGGAGGATTTCGCCTCCTACGTGATTCGCATTTCAACCTCTTCCAAGGTTTTGTTTACAGAACACTCAAAATGGCTCGATAGCCACCATAACAATAATGGCATCAAGCTGATTACCAACATTATCTGGGGATCTGAATGGCTGAGACGAGGTTGATCTGGCGTTGTTTGGGGCTGGTTCCACATCCATGTCTGATGTAATCTGTACAGAATACTGCCCATGCTTGTCACTCCTATGTCCCCGGCCCAGCCAAAGCCTAGCCAGGGATGGCGCAAAACAGTCGATCAGAGACTGCCAGGCTAGTCAATAAATACGATGATCCTTGGCCGTTATTCTTATGATACGTTGATGTAATTTGGTATACGCCGATCTCGAATCTCTTCTCTTTTTTTAACAGTGGCGAGAATGGAAAGGGGAAAAATGAAGGATACTAATATAGCGACGCCGCGGCTCCGAACTTCGGAAGTCCACGCCAAAGCAAGTCTCTTCCCCGCAATTGCATGGTTTAGCATTTCTAGAGGCAACGGCGGTGTCCAGACTACTCCGTACGGGGACATCATCAACAACAACGAACGCTCCAAGTTAGTTACTGTGTATGCACATGCATGCTGGAAATTGAATGTCGGGTGAACAATTAATTCCCAAGATCAGCAGGTGATCCTTGCAGCCATTCCAACTGCAATTCGGTCGCACTCAACCCCTCCTCCTGCAAGGCTACATACATACATACATACATACACTCCACCACTCGGGGCAGAACTAGCCGTTGGATAAAATCTCGCCGAAGCCCCTTGAAGCCATCGTTAGAGTTTGAGTTTTCGATCTCAAATTAAGGCTCGTCATCCAACGGATCTCCGTTTAGCTTTTTATAATTATCCACAACCATTTTAAGTCAGTTAACTATTATTATATATAAATGTCGGCACACTGTTTGGGGGACATCTGCTAACCTGACTCATAAAGAACAACTGGTGATTATTCAATGGAGGTGTTTTTTGCTCTTGGCACACTTCACCTGTCTGCCTGTCGCTTTCCAGGTATCCTGTGTGTGTACCAGGGACGTGCCTTGGTTAAGCGGCGAAGCTGATGCAGACTAAAGGATACCTTTACACTCAACGATTTGAAAGGGCGGAGCAGCGCGTACTCGTAGGTTTGGTAACTCGCGATGCATTGATGAAAAATAATAAAAATGAAATCAAGGGCGGAGCAACACGATTTCTACTGAAACAACATCTGTAATAATAAGGAATAAATAACCCTATGCAAGTATAAGGCCCAGCTCCGCCGAGGAGGGTTATATCTCTTACCTTACTGCGGAGTAGGTTCAGGGAACAATTCTATCTCAATCCAAATATGAGTCGACGTTAAGGTTTCTCTGCGCCACTTCGTTTGAATTTTTGGAAAACTCAATGGGGATTTTTTTTGATTCTTCTCGAAACCTTCTGTCCCGGCCAAGGAATCAGAGGGAGCAGTACTAGATGATGCATTAATATGTTTCAGCAGAATCATCCTACCCAACGGATATTTAACTTCCTAATTACGCTCCCAAGTTTCAAATTTATACACATACCCAAAACTGTGTCGTGATATCATACGCTTCTATTCTGGGAGTTTTGGCCTACGTCCTAGAGTCCTATTAGGGTATGTAAGTTCGTAAGGCCATCGCACAAATCAAACATACGAAAGAAAAAAAGAAGTCTTCCAAATCCCTCTTGAAAGCACGGCTCAATTGGACAAGCATCCATTCCATGTAGTACGCAAAAATGCCTTGGATCATAAAAATGCCATTCGGTAAATGTGGATTGCGAGCCTTGTAGTATCGTAATGCTTATTATATAAACCGCAGCTCAGACTTGCCTTTAAATATTCCATCAAGCAATCAACATCGAAGAAAACGCTCTGTTTCAGCGAAAGGCATGAACCCAGCTTAGACATGGTTTTCTATCGGCAGACAACTAGCCATCAGAAGTATCTGTTTATTGTCATCATTGCTGCTTTCAGTTCCTCATGTGCTCAACGTTGGAGGTGTATGTGTGCGTTTCCACACCCAGTGATATACTCTAGGCTCGAACCAGCAATGAGTGCAGATAATTTCACTCTAATATCTGTGTTCCCTTGCTTCGACCGCTTTCCATCTTGGCAGTTCGAGACCCAAATTGAATCGCCCTTTTCTTTTCACGAGCAACATTTTCCATTCCGAGCTTCCACGCGAGGAGTCGGAGAGATCTTTTCCCAGGCTCCAGGGATTCCTCCGTGGCTCCGGGTTCCTTCATAATGTCAGGCGTGCTATCTGAGCCTGGGGGCAATGCTCCAAATCCACATTTTTCCCAAATGGGGCAGGCAAGCGCCCACGCTAGGAAGTCCTCGTCTAGATAGGGGTATCTTGCCTCGCGACCCCAATGGCATATAACACGGTCATCTCGGCCCAGGTTTCGTTTGCCAAGACGACCAACATCCAAAGCAATTTCATCCACAAGCCCCTGGAGGCCATGCCGCTTGAACGCAGTTGCATGCCTTGTATAACCTGCGAAAATTTCGTCGGCACCAAGCCCGGAGAGCAGAACCCGTGCTGTTGTTGTATATGGTATTGTCGCATGCTGGTCCATATCGCTTGTGATTTCCCCTCTCCCACGCGAAGCAAAGTACAGGGCGCAGGCTATCGATAGATCCATTTCGGTGTTATGGGGTCGCATTAAGCGCTTGACCTTCTCTCGATGGTTTAATGTTTCCGTGTACGGAATGTTGATGGCAACAAACCGCCAGGGCCTGCCGGGGCATATATTTTGTAGCTCAGTGTGGGACAATCGCCCCGTTATTCGGTCCGGGCAGGTTTCAAATGTGCACAGTGGTGTCATTGTTGATTTGGAGGTTGACGCGGCAGCGGCTGCAATAACCCTAGGATTTTCAAATGCTACATTAAGCAGATCGATCGGCTCATCTATGGGAAGGATATCATGTGCTAGTCTTGCGAGTATGGTACAATCAAGACCTCCTGAGAAAAGAACCGCTACTTTTGACCTGTAATGTGATGAGTAATGGGGAGGCTCTGGAATATTTGCGAGCCGAAGCTTGAGTGATTCACGAAGCTTGAGCTCCAGTGTCTCTATAGACGGCGAGTTTGTTTGAAGCAGTGGAGGAATCTCTCTGATAAAAACAGATTTGTTAATGGGTGGTAAATAAGTTGCCTGTAAGAGTGTATTAGTTGATAGGGTTTTAAGGGACCGTTGTAAGAAAACATACAATAAAGTCCCCTTCGGTATTAGAAGGTATTTCGTTTCTCCAATTCAATCTCTTCACAGTTAATATTGAACGCAATACATCCGATGGGGCTGTATTGCAATCAGTGTTTTGGAAAAGGCTGGCAAGGTCGATCATATGAATGCCATCAGTTTCTACTTCCTCGAAATGTTTGGACGACGTCCCGTCGCAAACACTGGAAATCTTGAAACTTCCGGTAATATCCCATCCACTCAGAAGTGCCCGTCTTCCCAAACGATCTCTTCCGTAAAAGACCCTTTGGCGATATCCATCATAGAATACAAAGGAGAAAGGGCCAGAAATGGCACCCACGGCCTGAACTACTTTAGCTAAATATTGGCTCTCCATGATTTGAGATGGGAGCAAGCCACTTTGAGTTTCGGGCGGCTGTACGGCCTTAAGGAGTAACTGAAAAACACACTTGGCATCATTCCCCTGAACTGGATTGTTCTGGATTTTCCAGGCCTCCCCATTCCAGCATAGAACCGACCGACTGTCGGAGTCTACAAAGGGCTGAACCTGCAGATGGGCCCCGCGAAGAGCCAGAACGGTTGAAATATAAGTCAGACAGAGGGAAGAAGGAATGTCAGCGAGGTTCGGTCTCGCTTCCTCTGAAGGTTGTACCTGAATAGTGTGCCTGTTAAAACAGTCAGGGCCTCTGTTTTGCAGGAGCTGAGTGGTTTCCTCGTCCGGCTGCACATATTTCCCTGCGCCCAAGGAAAAGAATATGCCGCACATGGCGCTCGAAGAGGATTCCTGGTCAGTTGAGATAACACTTTCGCAAGAGGACGAGAGACAGTGAGTTTCGATCTTGGATCATGTGACGGCTTAGCTAACTTTGGAAGTCAACAACTCCTCTCGGGGCAACAATAGTCCGGAAACCTCCTTAATAAAGGCCTCGACTGGTTGTCGACGCAAGAGGCGGCCATGAAACTAACCCGAGTTCGTGTCGACAATATTCAGCGAATATTTGTCTCGCGACGAGAGCCATCTCAGAATGGGCACTGCACCTTGAATTCACTTGTACAATTTTGACCTACCAACCTCCATGTCCAGCTTATGTCTTCCCCCGAGCCCCGAGATTGCATTCCAGGAGGTGACGGCCCTCAACAAGAGAGTCAGCAACTTGGCTCTGACATCATAGGGGAACGGACAGAGTATCCTAAGGCAGACGGCTCGACACCGAAGACAAGTCCGTTTTCCAGCAACTATGAAAATATACCCCTTGGATTGTCGCCCAACACGATGATGGAAGCAGAACGGAAAGAAACTGATGATAACGATACTGAAACTGTTGGCATGGCGGGGACCTCAGCTACGGCGGGTTCGTTTGGGCCTAATCACGACCTCATTAATATGAATACATCTGCCCAAAACATAGAAAGGCTGGCGGTTTCTTGTCGAGAATCTGGCAGCACACAGTCATTAGCACTTAATATCGATGTCGCTTCCACATCGCCATCATCTCCTCAGGCAGAGAAGCCCTATCTAGACCCTACCCCGAAGACGCCACAAGTACCTCAATCACCTCTAGGAATGCCCACCGATTATACAGATAAGGATCTTCCCCAAATCCCCGCAGATATTGCCTGTGACGAAGACGTTGACAAGCCAGCGAAACTCGAGGCACAGAATGACGAAGATTCACAGTCAGAAATACAAAGCATCATGGATCAGTTTACGGACGATACGAAACACCCGGGACCGGGGGAACTTACGTCTCCTCGACTTGAATTGGCCGAGCAGTTCCTCCCTGGACAAGCGCATTTTCCGCCACGCAAGTCAAGCTTGGAACCCATCGTTTCGCCACGCAGTCCTATTGAAACTCATGTTTCCAATCAATGGCAATCGCGCCCATCATCCATTCGTAGCATTGGCTCACAAATAATCTCACCACCTGCTGTGCCTCCTAAGTCCCCTTCGACTAACTCGCAAAATCCTGCTGGGACGGAGTTGGCTGCCTCCTCAAATTCTGCATCACGTCCGCCGCCCCCTGAACCAGAACCAGACCAGCCCTTTGATTTCCATCGTTTCCTCGAACAACTTCGTCATCGAACTGCAGACCCAGTAGCCAAGTTCCTTCGATCTTTTCTCACCGAGTTGGAA